CCCCCCACCACCCTAACAGAGTAATCTGGCCTAAAGTGTCAATACTGCTGAGGTTCAGAAACTGAGGGGAAACGGAGTTCAGAGCCAGCTCCCTCCCCTTGCCCCAAGTTTGAAGCCCAGATTTTTTTAGTTACAGGAGCTTCCTGAGTTTCCTCATCTGTAAAATGAGAGTGTGCAGGGCTGTCCTAAGGATTGGAAATATTTTATGTAAAGTATTTTGAGCAATGTTTTCCTAATAACAAGTACCCAACACACAGTAAGTTATTTAAGTTATTTTAACTTACAGTCTGGACTAACCTGAACAGGTTGAGTGGGTTGATGCCTGTTTATCTTCATTGTTATCACTGAACCCATGTGGGACTGACAAAGCAGAATGCTTTGTAAATAACTTAGGGATTGGGTGGTCCTTTGAGGCCCAAGCTTTGTTTTTCAAAATGTATCCTTGGCCAACTTCAGAATAATCCAAGGCGCTTGTTAAACATAGATTGCTGGGCGCCATGGACCGAAGATTTAACAGGCTTCTCAGGGGATGTTTAAGCACATACAAGCTTGTAAACCTTTGGCCTATAGGTATTCAAGGCAATCAGTTTCAACTCCCTGGTTTGGGATGTGAGAATCAATTTTCCCAGTGTAAATGGATATTTAGTGAACTAGTCAAAGAAAGCCCTTTTGGGGTTATCCCATATTCATTGAATCAGCTCTTTATCTAAATGTGTGTGGAAGGCAGGCTTGGGAAAGGGCACGTCATAGCAGTGAGTCCACTTCAGTTAAATGGATAAAATTGCCTGGTTAATACCCTGCAGATGTTACACTCCTAGGACTATAGACTGAGTCGTGCCTCTTGACCTTCCTGAAAGCATCTCATGCCCCTGACTCTTTACCTTCATTGTAATACGTGGCACACATCGTTACATTTTGGTTGCTGAAGGGCCCTTTGGGGCCTGAGAGAACATTGTCTTATCCACCATCGAATCCTCAGGGCCTAGTCAAGGTCCCCATTGATGGGAGGAATGAATGGGCACTAAATTCTCAATCTGCTATCATGAGTTTACACTTCGGTCTTCCTTCGGGAGTGACCAGACCACCTTGCCTTCTCAGCGTCGTCTGCCTGTTGTGCTGAACACTCCCCCACATCAGCCCTTGGTGATCTCTCCTGGTTTACTTACTAGTTCTCAGGATCATTGTCCCAATAATCCACCTCTGAAGGGAATCAGCCTAGCTTTTTTCACCGAATCCTTTCATGTTGTTTCAGAGGAATCTTAAGTCAGATCTTAGGTACCAATCTAAGGATCTTAAATCTTGCATTGTCTCTGGGATAAACCTCAGGAAACCCTACCTTTGTCTTCCACAGTGGTCATCGCCATCAGAGGCAACCGAGAGTTTCACATCAAAAGAAATTTGGTTTGCACCCCCGCAGTTCTACGAAATAAGAAGACTGGAAAACTTCGCCTCTCTCTCTGACTTGCACAAGTTTTGCTTGGATCATGAATTAGAAGAGGTGGAGAGATGGATGCCGATCATATTAGTAACTGCTGATGGGATGATGCATCTCTTACCAGGTAAATCAGCGAAGCATCAGTGTTCTTGTTAGCATTCACATTTAATGCTCTGGGCCGAATGGCAGTATTGCCCCACACAGAGACGTGAATTACATTCTGCGTTGTACACACTACAGAGGTGCTAATTAAATAAGGTCATGGTCAACAAAACACCCATATTATTTGTTGTAGACAGAAATTCTGGGTATTTTACATACACTTACGTAAGTATATTTCCTAGACATTGACAAAGTTCTTTCTCATATATTATCTCACATTTTTACAGTTTAGTTTTGAATGATGAGAACTTGTAATGCATTAGAGAGTTTGTTGTTGGTCAGTTCTTGTTGAGTAAGAACAGGAGAGAAGTTTTGTGACAGCTTAGAGTGGAGTTTTGTGACCTGTCTTACTTATGGGTACTTGTCTTCAGTTCTCAGAACTGTGATTATTTGTTACTTATTCTATAGTGGGACAACTTAGCAGTTTTGATGTGTAAATCATAATTTCTCTAATTTAACCTTACAATGGTTAGAGCAGCCCACATTGAAACACCAAAAATATATGGATGTCAAGGCCAACATTAATATTGACTGGGGTAAAGAGAGTCATGAACTAATATAAAAAATTATAGTTTATGATGAAAAAATACCAGTCATAAATATTCATGTGCACAAAGAAAATTCTTGGCTGGAAAATGGGGAGCTGGGGAGGGTGAGGGGGTGGTATAAAAAAACACAAAGAAATTGAGGTACTCTCATAAAATTAGGATTATTTAACAACCATCTAAGTTCTAAACATGTGAAATAGATAAAAATACTGTTTTACATGTTAATATATTGGAATGTTTTATAAAATAACACTGGAATTAAATTACTATTTTTCAGGAGATGAGATGTACTTAGAAGATTCAAACTTTTTAGAAAATCTTATGTCCACTGAAAAAAAGAATGCCGAAATCATGAAGGAAGGGAAGAAGTTTCACCGAGTAGTGATTTACAGTCGTCATGATTATAACATCCACGTGACTGTTCAGTCAAAGCATAAACACGTTTATCCTAAGAACTACGTAGTAAGTAAGAGCCGTTTGTAGAGAACTGCTTCTTTGTACGCTGGCCTACCCGAGGTTGTCCTCACGACAAATGAGAATTCACCAGACTTGCTTGGAACTTAAGGAACTCTGTGCCTATCTAAGTTCCAGTTCAGCCTCTCATATTTCTAGTATTATGGAGTTCTCCTATTTTACTCTTTGAACCTTACAGTATCACACAAGTATAAAGTATTAATGATCTTGTTGCCAGAATGAGAAAAAAATTTTCACAAGGGTTTCCACTTCTGTAGTGTTTTACTGTCAAAAGTTTAAGTAAGATATTCTACTGCCATTGTCTTAAGAAAAAAAAATTTTTTATTGAAGTATAGTCGATTTACAATGTTGTGTTAGTTTCAGGTGTACAGAGAAGTGATTCAGTTAAATATATATATGTGTATGTATGTCATCTTTTTCAGATTCTTTTCTATTATAGGTTATTACAAGATACTGAATATGGTTCCCTGTGCTGTACAGTAGGTCCTTGTTGTTTGCCATTGTCTTTTAACTATGCAACTTTAACACTTTGCTTGATGTGCTTAGGAGATCGAGCCATGAATTCCTTAGACTTTCTACTAGGATAAATTTAAGGATGTCTGATTAGATTGTGAACTGAAGCCTGAGACAACCTTTAAGTGACAGTGTCATTATTTTCATATGACTTCAGCTTGATGATTAAGGTACAATTCTGCGTAAAACTAAATGGCATCAGATACTAGATTTACCAAATTGGAAATTACTTTAGTGACTATTTTAAAGAAATATGAAGCCATGACAAAAGCCATAATTCTCTTAACTAATAGAATACAGAGGTTAGAGAGATGTAGAACTATTCATTATTTAATAGTACGTATTAATGATGTTTATTTTCAGTATTTTTAATATAGAAAATTTTTTCACCTTCCTCTTGTGAAAAACATGTTTATTGGTTAAAGATGGGAAATAGTTAAGACTAATTCTATTTCAGATCTTTGACTATATTATGTATTGTACAATGAATTCTATTTTTCATGAAATGTTTTGGTTTTCCTACATATGAAATAGATGTATTGATAAATAAAGTTTATGTGGATTATTTAATCCTGACTGGTGGAATACGTCCAGATCAGTGGTTCTCACCCCAGGCACTTTTGCCCTTCGGAAGCATTTGGCAACGTCTGGAAACATTGCTGGTTGTCACAACTGAGAGTAAGATGCTACCACCACCTAGTGGGGAGAGGCCAGGGACACAGTTTAATATCCTACAATGCACAGGACAGCCACCCACGACGAAGAATCATCTGGCCAAGGTTGAGAAATTCTGATCTAGAGGAAAGTCTGTTGTCTTCAGTAAATGGTTCCAATATATAAAATTTGAGAACCACAAATACCATTGATATTCCATCTGGCTTCTGAATCTATAGTTCTCCTTACTGACTTTTCACCTGGGGCATAATATTCTTTCATTCTCACAGAAAATAGAATGTCATCGTCGAAAGAGACCTCAGTGAACATGACTTCGCTTGTGAGAAAACTGAGAAACAGATTCACACAGCTAGTCAGTGCCATAGCCAGGAGCAGGACCGGATTCTTTTTCCAGCAGGTGGCATATGTTGCCTGTTACCAAAAGCAGAAGTCTGAACACATATGCCCATCACATCTTGGGATTATAGTCACTAAGGAAACCACAGGACAGCCAGGCACTGGGTAGGACAGTGCTTTACTCACACAGAGGAGGCAGAGTAAGGTCAGCTGCTGAATGACCTCCGTAAGAATCCAAAACTGGGCTGGCATCAATATTTCAGGCTAATATGTCTTTGTCCTTCCAGTTCTTTGTTAATAAAAGTAAAACAGGAGTGCCCTATAATATGAGAGGATGCAAATAAAAGGAGACTTCTGAGGGATAATTTGGGGGGGCAACCTCATATATGGGTACATAGAGTTATTTCATAGTTTCTCCTCTCTCCTCAAACCCCTGTTTTTTCAGCCTCTCTGCAGCTTCTGACAGTTTTCCACTCCTGCTTGTTCCCCCTTAGCCACTCCTCCTCTGTCTTCTTTAATTTCATCTGTAACTGACCTTTAGATGTGAGGGTTCCCTAGTACTTGTTCTCAGACTCTCTTCTCTCCTAGGGTGATGTAAGTGACTTCTAGGTCATGTCCTTTAAAAAGGAACCTGCTTGCCCTGCACTTTGTCTTTTCCTTTGTCACTGGCTGGAGGTGGTGGCAACTGGAACAGCTACCTTGGACCCAGAGACAGAAGCCAGATGTCGGCAGAACTGCCTGCCAGACTTGGACTCCTCACCACTTGCTTGTTATGTGAAGAAAAAAAGAAAAGAAAATACTGTTGGCGAAGATGTAGAGAAAAGGGAACCCCTGTGCACTGTTGGTAGGAATGTAAACTGGTATAGCCACTAGGGAAAACAGTATGGAGAGTCCTCAAAAAAAAAAAAAAAGAACTATTATATGATACCCACTTCTGGGTGTATATCTGAAGGGAGGGAAATCACTGTCCTAAAGAGATACCTACCCCCATGCTCATTGCAGCACTATTTACAATAGCCAGACGTGGAAACAACCTAAGTATCCACTGACAGATGACTGGACAAAGACCGTGTGAGATACACATGTCAATATATGATGGAATACTATTCAGTCATACAAGGGAGGAAATCCTGCCATTTGTGACAACATGGATGGACCTTGAGGGCATTATGCTAAGTGAAATAAGTCAAATACTGTATTATCTCACTTATATGTGGAATCTGAAAAAAAAACTCATAGAAACAGAGATCAGATTTATCGTTGCCTGAGATGGGGGTAGGAGTGGGGGGTTGTGAAGGTGGTCAAAAGATTTAATCTTTCAGTTATAAGATAAATAAGTTCTAGGGATGTAATGTACAACATGATGAGTGTAGTTAACAGTACCGTATGGTGTATTTGGAAACTGTTAAAGGCGTGGATCTTAAAAGTTATCACGAGGGGAAAAAATTTCGTAACTGTGTGGTGATGGATGTTAAATACACTTACTATGGTAATCATTTCACAATATATACATAGATCAAACCATTATGTTGTACACTTTAGATATTATATGTCAATTATTTCTCAACTAAAACTGGAAAATTAAGCTCTAGTTATAAAAGTTATTTAAAAACAATTCTGCAAGAAGGCTAAAAATAAAAAGAGGGAAACACAAAGCAAGAAGAGCTTAGAGTTCTTTTGGGATGGACTTTGACAATATACAACTAAAAATGAAGATATGAGAATCTTGTGTGAATAGCACAGTATTGGGCTATGAAAACAATACATTAGAAACGAGGATAATGTGACATGTATAATATTAGTGGGAACCATGAACAAGGCCTTCTCTGATAGACCAAGTCCGTAAGAGATTACTGAGGTGTCTAGGAACACCCCTGCGCAGACACCGGGCTTCTGTTTTTGGGTTGAATGCCGTAACTGCAATGTTCATTCCCTCTCAATTTATGCAAAAATGTATAAGAGACAAAACTTCAAAAGTCTTTTAAAGTTGGGATTTCAGCACCTACATTAGTAAATGAAATTAGTCTGTAGTTGTTTGTGTTATCTTTGTCAGATTTTGGTAGCAGAATTTAACCATCTTATACAAATGCACTGGGAATCTTTCCACCTCTTTATGTTTCATCATCTTATCTTTTCACCACTTTCAAAGTGCTTCCCACTAGTTGTGGGGGGGGGCAGGTAGAGATATTGACCCCCTTTAGCCTCAAAAGGCCTAAGTGGCTGGAGCCCCACACAGTGAACCCCCGTTGCAGCAGTCTTGACTCCACATCCCGGTAAGATGTATAAATATTTTTATTTTCTGTGAGCCATGCTGTGAAAACGTTTGGGAAACTCCATATGGTAGCATGGCATTTAGTCAAAGGAAAAAAATGTTGACCCCATACTAAAAACTGGGAGAGGGCTGTATTCTGCATCTTCTTTGGGGCTTGGGAAATGTCTGGGACCTCCCGTTTAAATCGGATCTGGTCCTTTCCCATTTTTTAATAAGGTCTGGAGATTTCAGTTACTAAGTTGGTCCTGCCAGGTGCCTGATTGGGGGTGAGGCTCCGTTAGCCCAATTCAGCGACAGGTGAATTTCATGTACGTTGCAGCTGTTTTCCTCCTGATGGGCACTCAGCACAGCTCTCTCCTCTCCAACTCTCCTGCCTGAGACTTTAAGCACGTTTCCTTGACCTTGTGAACTCAAACTTACTTTAAAACTGGTTGCTTTTGTGAGTATTCTGTTCCCCAAGTATATAACCTCACGATTGCCATGCTCTTTCTAAACGGGTACAATCTTTTGCCATCTTGTTGGTTCCTTTACTAGCAAATTAACACATTTTGACAAGCGCTTAAGACGTTTTATTTTTTCACAGTTGAAATATTAAAGAATTCATCTAGGCCATGTAGGCCCAGCACATTTTTAAAAAAAACTGGGTTCCTTTGACTTTTAAGGAATATTCTCTCACTTCGTTGTTTGTTGGCTTATTCAAGTGTTGGAGGGAGTCCTGAGATTGTAGTAAAAGCTAACCCTCCTTGAGCGCTTCTTGGGTGTCTTTTGTTTCATATAGTGTGACCTCATCTAATTCTGAGAACTACTGAGTCCCAATTTTCAGGTGAGAAACCGCAGGTCTCCAAGTGTTGAAAATTTAGAGAACCCTGTAGTGATTTAACAACAACAAAAAATACACAAGGCCGGGGATCAGGGACTCTTCCTCAACCCCAAGGCAGCCATGTGGACGCTGGCCAAGAAGGAAAGGGTAAGGGTCTCCTA